TTTTAGCTAAAATTCGCTAAAATGGCATGTAGCTATTTCAATATGTTTTACAATATTCACTGTTTTAATTTTACGAATTTATCAAGGAAACAATGAGTTTTATTACCATTTTACATGTTCATGTAGATTTAATTTAGAGAAATTAAAATACAGTGAATAATTAATGCATTTACATTTACAGTAATTCAACAGTTGTATTTATTGTACAAGTATAATGGATTATTGAAATATGACTTATTTTGACTATAGACATATCTCTGCTATTTATATAAGCAATACTAACATCTAGCAAATACATTTTTTTTTTATTTGTAATTTGTGATTTGAAAAAACATTAAATGCAAATATTTTGTTGGCCTGGAATATTTTATTTGTTATATGCTGAAACGAATTTAAGGGTGTTTTGTATGGAATTTATTTTTACTAACTTTTGAATGTAAAATATATTTGCTGGATTTTATTTTCACTGAATCATTCCTTCAGCGAAAGTAAATTCAAAGTAAAAATAAAGTAGTGCTCACACCATGAATCAACACGCCATATTCTGAGCTAGTGACAAAAGTCTGTCCGGCCATCATTTACATATTTTTTATCACATTTAAAAATACATTTCCCAGATAGTTTTCTTCTCTAGGATGTGTTACTAATATTATGTGGATTATCATGAGCAGCTTGCGAGTATATGTCTGTCAAAGTTGACTATGTTATTGTTATAGGTTACTAGAGGATACTAGTTTCCTTTTTTTGTAATTTGTACAACCAAACCTACGAACAAGTGATATCGGGTGGCGGCTTTTACATATTATAAAGAACGATAATTAACATCCGAGGCTTAACAAATATCCAAACTGACCAAAGGTTCAAAAGAAAAATTGAAATGTGAATGGGTCACTTTATTTGACCTCAATTCAATTCAAAACAGTTACGACACGGTGGAGATTAATTTCCTATTAATAGTTCGTGTGTATTATATCAAGATCAAACACAAATTTAGTCACACACGAATGATACCAGGACATGTATATGATACGAACAATCTAAAATCTAAATCCATGGAACTAAAAAACAACATTGTGTCGATCAACGACTTGTAGTCGATGATTACAGCAACCCACCTTCATATTTGCTTTTATGCCAACATTTTTGGCTAATTTCTGCAAATCGGACCGCTTCATCGCATCTAATTTGTCCATATTTACGTTCATTGCCTTTTATATGGAACTAATTTACGGAAAAAACGTGGATTTTGTTGACGAAAACAAGCATATACGCTCCGTCTCAAATATGCTAATGAAGGATGAATTCAAATATGGCGCTTTCGCGTATGATTGGCTAGTCCGCGCTACTGCATGCTGATTGGCTAAGATCACTGTTCCATTTAATTAACGAAAATTATGCAACTACCGGTCATAGATCTGACTTCCTCACGTTATCTGCTGAAGTGTATATATACCGGACACTCGGCAGAAGAAATTAAGTAAGATCTTGTATTAATCTCCAACTGGAAAAAATATAATATACCGTGCAACCAGCATAGCTATAACATATTCTGAGCTTGAAGCCAAGGAGTCATTTAGTAACTGTGTGCCGTGTACAACAATCATGTCTAAAAGAACTATACTAAATCACATTATTTCATATTCTCGCCGGAACAGTGCAATATTTGAATACTTGAGATCTTCCGTCCACAATGTTAAACAAGCGGTGAGTCTGGATTTTTTATTTCTTATATTAGTTACATGGCGCCCTCATCTCTCCAAGAATAAGTGTGCGGTGCGTTTGTTTGACAAAAAAAAAAACTCAAATAACCAGTACCGCCTACCCTCCCGATGATTCGGTTTCTAATGTAGTCCTGTATATTCGACTTTATATTACACCTCCCCTCTCGATAATTCGTTGTTTTATGTAGTTTGTATATTCGCCTTTATATTACAGAGTGTTCGAAGGAGAAGAGTGTTGTCACAGTATTTCACCGTCTTGGCGGGGATATCATTCCTTGGGATACCGTGGTGGGTAGGGCATGGAATACCTGCACTGGATGGTCACAGCAAAAAACCCGATTCCGACCAAGCCATGATGAACAACGACATCGAATGATAGTGTTATATGTTTGTGGGGAATTTTACGCGTTACAAAAGATTGTATTTTGCAATATTCAAAACGTATTTCAATCATGTATGTAAATAACGCGAAATATCAGAATAAACATTATGCATCATTGATTGTTTTGTATTCTCGGGAGAGAACATCCAGACATTTTCACCGCCTGACAACCATCACCGGTGAAAACAACGGTCGAAAACTCTCAGACACGGTTACTAAAAAACCGTGTCTCAGAAAACTGTATTTCGGGCTAGTTGTTGAGACCCCCTCCCCTTCAGTCATTCTCCTTTCCAGAGATCTCTGTGGCCAGAATTTGAGTGTTTTTCCCAACTTTGGCTGTTTTCACCAGCTCCTCAGCGTTCACACAGAGCCCATGGAAATACATGGTACATAGTGCAGTGGTGCGCGTCCAGGAAACCTCGGTCCATGGAAGCGAGCTCGGTTTTTTAATAACCGCCATGGAAGGTTACTACATGCTCATGTACAACCTTAGCTGGGATAGATCGCGATGGTCCACATGATCTCGTTTGATTTACAACTTTTGGGGGACTTAAAACAGAAACTGATGTTTGAATCAATGCAGACTAGTGCCTGGTTACCGTGCCCGGGGTCCCACGCGACGGGAACAATGCGTATATAATGAAATACGTAGTTTCCACGTATTTCTATTTCAAAACCATGTCGAACATGTCATCGAGTCAACGACAAAGCCCCGCATACACTTTCTAGTTTGATTTTGAATGTTTTGGGGTCAAAAGTGCCAGAAATGGCAACTTGTTATACTTTCTAGACAATGGCTCACAATGGAAGTGCGCCCAGGGATCAAATGCCTTGGAATAAATCCAGACCCAAAGACCATTTCTTGAAAAAAGTTCGAAATCCATGCCATTCAAAGTTGACAGGTTATTTGTGCGACGTGCCAAGAGTGGAGTCCCTCGATACACAATGGTTAAATGATTTCAATGGGAAAAAATGAATAAAACTAAGAATAACATTTTTGAAAGAATGAGGATAGATGACTATCTGTAGTTGTTATCTTGTAACACAATTCTTAGGATAGACGATTGCATCTTTCAAACAATTGTAAAATTAACCTTTTTTTTTAAAAATACGAATCATAATAACAGACTGGACGGTAAGGATGATCGTAAAATGTGCAGAGAAAATCGATGTACAGAGCCGAAGGTTTTGTTGATTTTATCATGACATTTGCTCGATGTACAGCAACTTGTGTTACAATATAATGTAAAGAAAAAATAACAATTTGAAATTTAATGACAAAAAAGCGTTTTTACTGCGGTAATTGTTGGTTTATTATTTGACAGTTTTCCTATATTCACTATTAAAGATCATTAAATACATTTCACTTTACTGAAAAACGTAACATGTAATAATGAGCGCCGTCAATGGCGAACCACGCTTATTCATTGCAGAAAACGAGAGGACAAACTTTTACAACCACCACGAAACAGACGGCGCTCTACTAACATCTCTGATGTATATCGCGGTCGTCATATGCAAAATAATAACACTCTTGTATAGTCCGAGCTTCGAGGTTTCGTTGCGAAGCGTCGGTTTCACCTGTGACTATGCATTTACAAGGAAATCGGTTGTAGCAGGTACGGTTCATAAATTCAGAGCCTCGAAGGCTTTCACCATGTTGGTTAAGACAAGAAAAGTTCAAGTAACGTAGTCTAAGATTGGTAAGTTGACCTGTCGCTCACTATACAAATACGACGACCATGGTTGCACACGAAACGGTACAAGTAGTTTACATAATAATTTTGACTCGTTATAAACTATGATCCTGTCGCTAAAATATGTGTGACTCTGACTTCAGAAAAGGTAGGTTGAACGAGTTAATAACGAAAAGCAAAGTAAAATAGCAACTTCAAATATTGACAACGACAGAGGAACTACACTTGAATACGATACTGTAGATGTACTTTATTTTAGCTAATTATATGGAAAATAAAAATTTTTGGTTGACATACTGTAAAACCATTTATTCAACTCGATAATGCTATTGGAAAACTCTGCCTTGGATTTCCTATGGGAAATGTTTTCAGTAGTTTTAGAGGACCCAGTTTGTCAACTGTAAAATACTTTATTTTAGCTGTAATTAATTTTTTTCTGAAAAGACAATTTGGCTGTTATGTATGGAATTTATTGTCACTGATTTTTGACAAGTTGAATGTAAAATATAGGAAAAAGGTATATAATCGCTGAATTTTACTTTCACTGAATCATTCCTTCAGTGAAAATAGCGAAAATTGAATCCCAGCGAAAATAAAGTATTTTGCAGTATTTTGCAGTCAAATAGCTACAGATACAATCATAAACTCTGTTATCTCACAGTTCCTACAATGGCATTTTAAAAGTGACTTTTGCTTCATGTCTGCTGTACTATGCTTTCATGCATAATCCTAATGCCTAGGTTATATTAAGATATTAGAATGGAAAAGTGGATATTTTGGTAGCTGATATATTAGTGAATATGTTTTTGATCTGTTTTGGATAGTCATACCAACAAGTGTCGTTTTATGTGATCTTTCTCAACAGTATGTGGCATCATGTGTTTACCCAGGTATGGGCCTGCAGCTTATTGGCCATAACAATAGGGCAACATCAGAGTGAGGTGGGACTGCTATGCTTCAAGTTATGACTTAAAGTTGCTCTTGAGTTATACTTTGGTTGACCA